ATGTAATAATATTTCGTATTTCATTATATACACGCATACAAAAAAAAGTATACGTAAAGATTGGAAATTAAACATGGTATGTGTACGAAAGTTTGTAGGTATGTATAAAGATATAATATGTACAAAAAGAATTACAACTTATTGAGAATTTCGTTTTGCAATAATATGATATTTTTTAAAAATATATGCGTAATATTTTATTTATTTGCTTTAATAATTTTGTAATTTATCATTTATTTGATCTGATAATTGCATATAGCAGAAATATTCATTTTTATTTTTTTTTTGAAATTTCATTAAAACATTTCAATTGATTTATTTTAATTAATTAATTGCTAATATTAATTCGAACGATAAAAAAATTTACGTATTACGGTATAAGAGTACGAAATTTTTGAATTTATATGGTTTTTAAATGTGAGTTTGTAATAAACGTAAATGTCGTAGTATTAGCTACGTAGTAGATGTTGAATGTTTACAATATATCCATAAGTATATACAATATATTCTAAAATTATTGTTGAACTAAATTTTATATATTTTCAGCACAATTTTGAAGTTAAGAAAGTAAAAAAATATTGTTTTTTGAGTGTTTTTGTGTCACTATGCTCGAAATTTTAGAGTATTGAATTGTCGTGTATGAAATTTTTAAATTTTAAAGATAATTTATGTCCTTAAAATAGTAATAAATCTATTGAAATGGAATTAATTCGAAAATACTTGTATTTAATTGAAAACTCTCCGTGAATGGTTTAATTCACTTATTGTATACAATTTATTTGTTTTAGTTAATTAACATCTTAAAAAAAAGTATTAAAATGAAATTGACAAAAAATATGAAAATTTCTTTATTATTTGATGTGATAAAATATGTAAATAATGTTCGATTGATTGATATAGTAGCCAAAGAATACTACAACACAATGCATTGAAAAAATTGTACAATTTTTTAGAAATTAATAGCTTCACCTTGTTTGCTGGCTATGACATTACGTATGTACCAATTATATTTAAAGCAAAAATGTAAGAAAAGTATTGATAATTTTTAATCTTTCAATGTTCCATAAAATTATATGAAATATTATGTGCACAATGTAATATAAATGCAATATTATATTGGCCTAAGTTAGGTATCCCAATTGAAATATTAAATACTGAGAAAATACATAGAGTAAAATAATTTTTTAAGAATATTTTTATCATTTTACAATACAGAAAAAAGGACAATCCAAAATATAAAAAGATGTTTAAAAAACTATTTTTTTTTCATATTTTACAACTTTAGAGAAAAAAAAAATATGTTCGAAAATTTAATAAGCAATAAAATTTTTATATTATTCGTTTGAAAATTGTCCCAACTTTTTATGCCTTTCAAAATTAAAAACCTACAAATTTCTAATATTTTCATACTTTTTTTTTGTTTTTATTAAAACTAGAAGCTCGTACAACATAAATTAAATTTTATATCGTTTATTTTGTTAGTTCCCTTTACTTTCTTTCAGTATAAACAAAATTTTTAAAGAGTAATTATTGATTAAAAAATAGAAAACTAAAAACAACATTATTTTTTTGTTTAGATTTTCGGATCATAAATAGGTCATTTGTATGTATATACTGTTTTTCTTTTTATGTATACAGTCAACAAAGAATGAATACGGCCAACGTACATAAAATTTTATAACAATAGTGAAAAATTTTTCAAGTCAGCTAAATATTAAAAAAGGCAAAAAGAAAAATACAGCAAATAAAATTTTTATAAGGATCAAAAATCATTCTGCATTGCCTATTTTAAGGATATCAAATATAATACATGGAATTTTTTCATTTTAAAAAAATAATACATATTTTCATACACATATTTATTGTATGTGCAGAATATACATTTAGATTTATATATAGACAGCTATTTAAGCATATAGTGTACACATATGTTATCACATACAAATATAACAGATCCTTTGGCTATAATTCAAATTTCAAAAGCCCATTTTATGTCAATACAAACAATAAAATTAAAATTAATAGCGTCAATATTAGTACAATAAAATTTCTATATAATATACGTATAGATATGTATATATATATATAAAATATACGAATGTATACGAATATGTCCAATTAAAATAATACAAAATTTCTACGTAAATGTCTGTATGTAGTAATATACGAAAACTTTCCTAATAACAAATTCATATATATACAAACAATCATAATTGACATAAAAAGTATACACACATTTGTTCCTACATTTTATTACAAAAAAGAATTTTGATGACATAGGTTTAATAAGGTAACCAATCATACAGCATTCGTATGATATTGCTGCAATATTATGTAAGAAAAAAAAAAACAGAATATTACGGTATTGATTTCAAAATAATAAATTTATATATATACGTACATGTGAATGCACATATTATGCCCGTACATAAAAATAAACATTTATATAATATTTGAGATAAATTCAAATCCCCAGAAAATTTTGATGTTTAAAAAGGTAGAAATAAAAAAAAAGGTCTTAGAAATTAAAATTATTCAAGGGATAAATGTAGCATTTTATATAATAAAAATAATAAAAAAGTATAAAAAACAAATGGAAATGAAAAATTAATGTCAGACACCTTTTCAATATTTTTAATACTTTTATATTATAAAAGCAAAAATAAAGAAAGGAAAGAAAAAGTAACAATACGTTTGAAAGCGGAAAGTGAAATATAAAAGACTCAATATTTTAACAGAAGGTTTTGTAATAAGAGAATACAATATTTTTCGAAAAGAGGATGTTTATATGAATTGGATTAAGTGATTGTAAACGTTTTACAATTGCGACGAGTACAAATGAAGAAAGTGTTCAATAAGTTATTTTTAAATTTAAAAATTTTTTTAATTTTAGGCTCATAAATAGGGAGAGTAGCCACTTCATTCACTGAGCAGAATACCAAAGTGACTTAGAAAAATCTAAAACGCAAAAAGCAATCAATGAGTTTTGTCTAATAAAACTTAACCGTAAATTATTTACAATGTTTGTTTTACTTATTACCAATTTTTCTGTAAAATTTCGCCAAAGAAATCTTTCATGAAATAGTAACAATTGACAGTTTTTAACTAAATCAATTTGAAAGGCATGAAGTTCTATTTTTGAGATTATGATTTTATTTGAAATTTATTATGCTGAACTTTTGAGAAATTTTTTCATATACACACATATAAAACAGAAATAAAAATAGAATATTGTTTTTTGGTAATAAGATCTCATTTTTCATTTTTGTAAATTTAAGTAAGTTTACAAAAATAATCTAATATTTCTGTTTTGTTTATAGTTGATCACGAATTCGAATATCTAATATGAAAACATATTTTTACAAAGTTTGATTAAATATAGACACATTAAAAGTTATAGTCCTTTCTAAATGAAGTATGAAATAGATATTGCGTTGAATAAATTTGAGGATAATTAAATATAATGTGGGATTTGTCGCACCCTTTATTATTTTTATGTACAAATATAATAATTTTTTTTTCTTGAAAAATTTTATCTACACACAATTTATTTTTACACATGATTGAAGAATTAGTTCAACATTTTTATTCAGTTAAATTATTTTAATTTTTAATTTTATTGAATACTCAAATGTCTTTAGTCTAGACAAATTCTACGATAAATAGGTGTAAAAACTAATAAATCCGTTGAGAGTTAGTTGCTATATGTGATTTAAATAAATTATAAAAAAATTATGAAATCATTAAATGTACGAGAAACGCATAGTATATAGGACAGTTACTTAGGTAGTTTGGGATTACTTTACTATTAAAAATAATGTGATTGCATTTCAATAATTTTTTAAATGTTTTTATTATCATTTTTGTAAATTTATTGTTATAAATCATTTTGTTTCAAAGTGAGAAAATTACAGAAGTTATAAAATTTTTTTAGTACCAAAGTATCAAACCTTTATCGTAATATGCGATCGAGAATTAATTTAAATTAATTAAGAACAGTAGGAATTTTTTAGGAAAAGGTTTTTTAGAAAAAAGTGAGCAAAAGACCTTCACAATATATTAGCAAATAATTCAGTTAGTTGAAATAAAATCTTACGTGGTTAGCACATAACCGGCCGCGATTCGTATTATCTAGTTTAGTGATAGTGTTACAGAACATTATGAAAATGCCTTTTGAACACTTCCTTTCAATTTTAAAGAAGTTAGTAAGCTTTTGTTAGCATATCTAGAAAAGAGTAAATTTGGCTATTAGTATAATTCCGCTTTATGCCACCCGAATTCTCTGAAGAGTTCACCAGTTAGATTCGGTATTAATCAGAGCTCATAAAATTTCAAGAAATTCCATCAATCCGTTCCGAAGATATGGCAAAAAATGTAAGATCGGCTCCCAGTTTGGTTCCCAAGTTGGTCCCCATTCAAAAAAATTCATAAATTCATTGTTTTAACACTCCGAATTTAAATAATAAAATTTAAGGAAATTGGTTGATAATATCTTTTTATATGGTCAAAAATGAAAATCGGCTCGCAAAAAAGAGTATTTGAAGCGGCGTTATATATACCAAAAGTTGTATAAATCAGTGCTCCAGCTTAAATAAAACACATATAAAATTTTATCAAAAGCGATTCAGCCAATTTTGAGATACGAACTTGACAAATCGACAGTCCCATAAGCCAACATCCTTCTAAAAATAGTTTTTTTACGCTTCCCTACTATGGAGAAGTGCATTTCGACATTCAAAATCTTGGTGTCATCACATAACCTCCCTTATGCATGCGATGTAAGCAATGCTACCGGTAATTTGTTGATAAAGGAGGATAATAATTTATAAGTTGTTTAGGACCATTTAACTAATTTAAAAATTATGACTTGAGATCGGTTTTGGGTTTAAGGAATGGCGAAATATTCTGTATATTAATGTAATTTTAAAAAAAATTCTCCAATTAGCTATGTTGTGAATAATTCAAAAACTCAACAATAAACAAAATAATTTTATACTTACATTTTGTTTACTAGGCCTAAATGTATAATGTAAAACTTCATTTGCTGAAGTATTACCGATTAATGAACCTAAACTAGATACAATGGTTGTATTTGTTGTACCGCCAACACTAGTACCACAGCCACTGTCTATTGTTGATGTATTTGTACATCCTATTCTAATGCTGCTGTCATCTATTATACTACCATCACGCTGTATTAAACGTGCTGACGGACTACGGAAGAGCGGATTTTGTCCCTGTAACTTAAGTGGACGTTTTTCTATAAATAAAATAAAAATCGAAATAAAACAAATATTATATTACGTTTAATTTTATATATGTATAAAAAATGTTAATTGTTATATTATATAAACTATAGACTTAGACAGTAGGTTTGCCAATATGCATATGAAATTTCATGTAAAATTCAAAAAGAAGAAAAACGCTTTGAGTATATTATTAAATTATAAAAAATTAATTTTACATTCGTATAACAAATGTTTAAATTTTTATGGAGTAATTACGTTAAATATTTTTATACAGCATAACTTTCGTGTTTTTGTTTTCTTTTGGCACAGTTTCCCTATATTTCTTCAAAATAAATGGTAGACTTCTGGTGCTGAATGGTGCTTTTTTACAGACCATTCGTATGTACTTTGATCAGAAGGCATAATAAACCAGGGAAATTATAGTTATCTGATGTCAGTACAATTAACTTTTAAAGGATTAATTACTAAGAAACAGAATAACATGACATAAAATCATCGCACAGTATTCTACGCTCAGCAATATATAATAAGTGGTTCAATTCTAACATTCTTTATGAAGATGTATTCTACATTAACACATGTTTACAAATTGGTACTGGAATTTTTTCAGTTTTATCAATATAGATGAAACATTGTTTTTTTTTTAATTTTTATTAATGAATTTTTCTATTTTATGTAAGCACCGAATTTCTAATTTCTATTTTTAATACAATTCAAGTTAATCAAAGAAATTTTTGTGTAATTTTTAAATTAATTTAAAATAATTTGACAAAAAGTTATCAAACTCAAAATTCCACAATACGCAACATTTTCCATTTCATTATTAGAGTACAAAAAATATGTAAATTCAATTCATATTTTAGATTAAAAGTTAGAGCCAAAGGATAATTCGAAGAAATTTAATAACTGTACAAAATTACCAGTAAATCGATTCTATGAGAAAATTACTAAAACAAAGTTAAAAGAAAAAAAGAGAAAAAAAATTTTTAAAAAAAATTTTCTTTTTTCGATTTTTATACCCTACACCTTTCGGTAGCATTAACTTACATTATCTTTGGTATGAAATTTATAAGAAACTTTAATCAGTCGTCTGCAGCATGAACGCCTATATGTATTCTTGCTTAGCATAAAATTCTATGTTGATTTGTTTCTTTTTGGCCAAGAAGAAGGTTGCTGTTCTAATTTGAAATTCCGAACAACTAGTTCGGATTAGTGTCACACAATTTTAAAATTTGATATTAAATACTTGCTTTGATAGGACAATAACATTTCGCAGTCATGTGTCCAATTGCAGTATGAATATTTCCAAAAATTTTTTATGAAATTATTTAACAGACTTGGGTAGCTGGCGTACAACGTTAACAAATTTAATGTAATTTCGAAATATAGTTTGTATTATTAAACAGTTAAAAATTTTATTGAACTGGCTCACTATGTTATGTTTTTATAATGGGATGTTATGGTGTAGGGTATGGTTTAGTCGGATAAGATCAACTGAATTTTACTTATTTTATATTAAAAGTAATAATCAAAAATGATAATAAGAAAACTAAAAGGTGAAGAACGGAAAAGCAACAAAATGTCAAAATCCCAAAGAGAAAACTTTGTAATCACATAAAATAATTTTTTTTCCTGATATTTCTGTTTTTGTATTGTTCTTTAATTTTTTTTTCTTTATCTAATTTAAACGACAAGTGAGAAAGTTTTTATTAAGGAAATTGTAAAGTTTTTCATGACAATTTTTGAATAAAAAAAGGGAGCGCTTTTTTCTCGTTTTTTGAAAAACAAGAAATACAAAAATAAAAATTTTCAGCTACCTTGAAAGTAATTTTGTTCCAATATTCTTTGTTTTTATAATCTGAGGGCAACAATATGAGAGTAAAAAGTGTAAGTGCAATGTTGATTAAGAAAATTAAAATATAATTTGTTCAAGTGATAATAATATAATCACATTAGTTGAAAGTATTGTTCCAAAAAAAATTTTTTAAAAGGAATTATTCCTTAGTTTTTCTTTTAGTAAACATTCAAGTTAATTTGAAAGATTTTTATAATCATATTGCATATCATATCGCATTTGCTAAATTTTGTTTTCATCCTAAAAGTATGCATAATAATTTAAGTAAAGAATTTTCTTTTAGAAAACTTGTTCCTCGCTTATTCAAAAGGGAATGGATATCTTAGAAGCCGTTGATCTGATCCTAATTTATTGTAATGTGATACAATATTGTAATGTGATACAGAAGGGTCTACAGGTAATTATCAAAATAAAAGTGAAGTATAGGAATGCAATTGTTTCTATAAGCATAATGTCTTCTTCCTAAATGAATAGTAATAAATGCATTAAATACTACTTTTTCTAATTGTAAGGTTTTTTTTGCTATTTACCAGAAATATAAATAACGTTGCGTGTTTTCTAAAAATAACATCTATCTTTACCTATTTACTTATCTAATTATCTATAATTAAATTTTTTTATACATTGAGAAAGTTTTGAGCTTTCAATTTGCGATGTTACTAGTGTTCAAAGTTGGTGCCATAGTTAAACATAAAAGTAAATTGTTTTTTGATACTTAACAGTAAACTATAGAAACAAAGAATATTGTGTATATAATTGAAACATTACAAAAAAAAAACGAAGAACATGAAACAAGAAGAAAATTAAAAAAAGAGCAATTCAATGAAAATTGTGTTATAGTGATAAGTAAAACAAAATTGCGTTGATTTTCTTTTTCTTTTTCAGCGCAATTCGTTTGCCATTTCATAGTGTTTGTATATGCATAAAGGCTCTACATATATGTGTATCCGAATAAAATAGTATGTGTTACGAAAAATTGCATATGAAAAGTTTGAATTTTTCTCTGTTTCTTGTTTTTTTTGTTTTTGTTTATATTTTTTCCTATGTCATTTGGTGTTTTCACTTAAAAATACAAACAGCAAAAGGAGAAAAAAAAACTTTTTTGAAAAGCTTTTATGCAAATCATATGTAAAACATGATTGCAAATTTTTATAGAAAAAAAAATCTTAGCTTGTGTGTGCTAACACATAAATGTATATCCCTTTTTTTTAAATATTTTGTACATACCCTTGTAATAACTGTTTGTAATATGCATTTTTGTTTGCTATAAAGAATTTAAAGAGTGTATGTACATAAAAGCATATTATTAAAAAAGAATAGTATACAATACCCATCTGACAGGTATTTTTATATTTTTTGTACAGAAATTACATGTAAAAATGATGTACTGTTCTGTTATTACATAATATTTTAGTACATTCATTTACATTTATATACTCGTAGATACAAATTATATATACATAATTTTAATAAGTGTAGAAGAAGAGGAGTAAAGTAAATATACATACATATATGACATAATTATAACATGATGAATAGATTTACTTATGTAGTATATGGATACAATATGGTATAACTTTGAATATTGTAATTCAGATGGAAAAGTTTGTCGTTGGATAGTATAAAAATAGACTACATATGTATGTATAAAAGATGTTGTGAGGAGTAAGTTGGAAAACAAAAGGAAAATGTTTGAATACAAACAAGAAGAACAAGAAAAAAATAAAGAATATACATGTGAAACAATTAATTTAAGTTTTTCACAATATTATAAAAATATGTGTAAAAATATCCTTGTATGTTAGAATTTTGTAAACATATCATAAAATATATAGAATAACTTAAAAATTATCTGTTAATGCAATTTGTATGCAATTTTGTTCATTTATTGCATGTTGAGAAATTTTTTGAATATAATTTGGTTGGTTGTTTTGTGTTTTTTTGTAAGCGAGTTTTAGAAAATGAAAACATTTAAATATTATTTGATTGACGGTCCATATTATGCAAGAATATGGCACATTTTTTTGTAGCATGTGTACTTATATATATCAGGGTTTAGATCTTCATTAATAAAAAAAAAATTATTTTAAAATTAGTCTATATTGCAACAAATTTGGGAAATAGAAGAGTTTTTAAAGAAAAAATTTTGTTGATTTAACTGAATATTTTTATATTTTGTGGTGTTGTGTATAGCGATACTTTTAGGCATATGTTACAAAGGAAGTAAATTCGGCTAATTAAGAAGCACATACAACAAACTGCATAGAGTGTGTAGTTTCTATATCGCAACCACTTAATAAATTAAGTTTTGGAAATTGTTTTTTTTTGTCTTTTTTAAATAATGGTATTTTATATGGTGGTGTAACATAGTAACATAATTTGCCTAAATTGTCAACAACTCTATGAATTCAATTATAATATCGACAATAAAATTTTACAATCAAGTAACAGAATTGGAATATAATATGATTTAAGGTTTACTACAATTCAAATTACGGAGAAAAGCATAATTTTACTGTTTTATAAAATTGCGCTTGTACTGCAAAAATTGAAGAAAAACTTTTCATGTATAAAATGAACATAAGTTATATGTATATATAATTTTTGATGTATTTTTTATTAAAATTAATTTATTTTTATGCATAACACGTTTATTTTGATAAAATTAAAAATATTTAAAATAAATAGAAACATTGAAGAAACGGAGTATCAAAACGCTAAAAAATTGAATATTTGTTGAAAATTGAAAAAAAAAAAAAACCTTTTTATTGACACGAAATTATTATTTTTAGAAAAGTTTTTAATAAAACTGATAAGTGTATTTATTTGTTTCGGATAGAACATGGCAATTTCCTCGAAAATATATAAAAATTAAATAGTGGCGTTTGCATGTAGTTTATATAAAAAATTGTTAAAGTGAAATATTACATGATTTTTTTATAATCTCCCAAAAACACAAGAATCAAATGATTGGCAAAGAGGAAAATTTTGATAATTTAATTTCATATATGAAGGTTTCTTTGTCGATTTTTTTTCAAAACCATTTTTTTTATCGTTCAAATTACTATCACATATTTTATCACTAGAATTACTATAATTTGAAAGTAATTAAATAATTTTAAAATGTTTCTACTTCGGCAACTATCAATTATCATCGGAAGAAATTTTAAATTTTAAATTCTTTATATTTTCTGATCTCTAGTATATTTTATGATCAAAATTATTTAACAGAAATAAATAAATGAAAAAAAATTAGAAGTTAAAAAATAAAAACAAAATTCTTACCATACTGATTTGGTATAACATCTGGATCGGTGTCATCACCTTCAGGCGGATCACCTAATATTTGTGGGCTTTGTCTATGTATTAAATGACATTCTGGTCCACCCATACCAGTTATGATACTACTACTACCTAATATACCACTACCTCCACTAACCAAACCACCACCACCTCCAGAATTAATTCCGCTATTTGGACCAATTATACCATTATTGCCTAATGGTGTTGTTGATGTTCCACTAGAATTTCTTGTATGATGATGATGATTTTGTTGTTGATGATTATGATTTTGTATATGATGATGATTTGGTATTGTTGGTTGAAGTGGATCCAATTGACAATCTGATGGCATTATGGGCAGCTGTGTATGTTTTGTTGATTTTAAATTTGCTTCACTATTTCTGCAATTTAAAATTTATAAATGTATTATTTTTGTTTTTTATATGAATATTACAGGATCTATATTATTTTGGTGACAATTTTTAATAAAATTGATGATTTGTAATAATAAAAAATGGAAGAAAAAAGTGGAAAGAGTATCTATTATATAAAAATTTTTATTTATATGAAAACCCAAATTTTATGCGAAAATTCTTTAAGCTTAATAAAATTTGTTTTAGAAGATTTAGTGTATATTAATTTATCAAAAAAGTGCTTTAATAAAATTTATTCCAAAATATTTCAAATATAGTTTAATTTAAAAAAAAAAGAGTAAATTGCTATAAAATACTGCATCAAATTCTTTACTACATTATCACATGTAAAAAATATCTCTCTCTTTAAATTTCTGATAATGGAATGATTTTTTATATTTTAATTACTTCAAAAATGCTTGAATACAATTCAAAAATTTTCGTATCAATGAATTGGGAATTTTTTAATTTATTTTAAGTCATTTAAAGCGGGAGAGTTGTAAGTGTTTATTAATTTGTTCATTTTTGTATCCTTGTTATGAAATTGTAGCGCCTGAATTTGAATATAATATTGATTTTCAAATGTTAGACGAACTATTAAATTTTAATTTAGACTCTTAAATTTGTATTCACTAAAGATTTTAATTTTATTACTAAATAAATTTTTTAATTAAATAAAGTGCTTTCAAAATTCACCGCAAAAATTTTTTAGCTATCATAGGATTTTTAACAGAAATAAATTTATTTTGTAAAAAATATGCATTATATCCATTTTTTCAGTCGTATATGTAAATATCTACATATTGTATACAGTAGAGTTAATTTTAGTAAATAATCACTTTTGAAAGTGTCACTAATACTGCGATTCCGCAACAATATATAGTGCGTAGTTTTTTATAAACAAAGAAGGGAAAATAAAAATAGAAATAAGTCCATAAATATAAAATTATGTAATATATTACTTTGTAGAATTACACAAAAAGTAACAGTAATGATACTTCAACAGGTTGGTAAAATAGAACATGAGAGCGAACAGTTGAATAGTTGTAAATTGTTGACAGAGAGCTTAAAGTCAAACCTTAATTTATTTGAAATTTATTACATGTTGTCAATTATAACGGCGAGAAAGCAAAATTTTACACACTTTTATTGTTTGATCGTACTATGTAAAATATATTTTGCCACTTATTTTCCTTATTTTTTATTTAATTTTTTTTTAAACTCTCTAATTTTAACATTTAGCTACTGACATTTATTTTAGTTCAAATTGTAGAGGTTTTACTATAACTTGAATCAAAATAAAAAAGAGAAAAGGAAAGAGAAAAATTCATCGCAAAAATATGTGATTTAATTTGGTAACATTTTGGTTATTGAAAACCAGCTGTCACTGGCGTAGTAAAATAGGAAAAATTTCAAAACTATAAAAAAGGAAAATAATTTTTAATTTTTTGGATTCAAAGAGGAAAATTTTTTGGAAATACATTTACACAATGATCTAACAAAAGTTTATTTGGCTTAAAAAATTTTCTATGTATTTTTCTTTTACTCTGTTATTCTATGGAAAATTATAAAATTTTTGTTTGCAAAAAACAGAACATTAAAAAACAACATAAAAATATTGAAAATTTTTAATCTAATTTTTAGCATACATTTACTTATATATTGAAAATATGGTATAACAGTTGTTTTATATTATGTGTATGAGTATAATGTACAATATAAGAAGTGTATAGATTTTAATGCACAGAATAAATTAACGAAATTTTTTTTACTCACTTATTTGAATAACGACGATATAATGCCGCTAAAATTATACATGCAATAGCAAATAATAATGCTGCAAATAATGTTAATCCAGCTAAAAATGGTGACAACGGCACTGTCATAAAACCATTCGATGGACCTGAAACAAAAAATTAAAATCAAAATAATTTAATTTTGTATGTGTATCCATGTATGTATTTTATAGAAATATGAAGCAATATTAAATATAAAAATTATATTTGTATTCATAACTTTTTATAGTTGATAATTAAGTTTTCGGTCGAATATTACTATGTTATTCAAATGTAGGTACAATTATTGTTCCCTGCACATATTATGTAAAATTGTTACTCTGGAGTACATTCAATAAAGTTGTTTTGGTGAAAAATTGCAAACAATATTAAATCGTTTTAGATTGTCTTTTTTTGTTTTTTTTTTTTTAATTTAATTCAATTCATTTCGGTTATACACCGACGAAAAACCAACAATTTAATTAATAATACGATAAAAACTGTGATTAATACAATTTCGCTATAAATTTAATAGAAAATTTAATTTCATATATAGATATTTATTTTTAATAGAAAGTAAACAACTAAAGAAAAAATGAAAGCCAGAAAATTTCAAAGAGATTTTGGATTTAAAACAGAATTATAATGCAAATTTACTTTTATTACTTTTTCGATTTCAAAGTTAGTGAAATAATATTAAATTGTCTAGTTATTTAAAAAAATGATACCATGAACTCACAGCCATCTGGAATTGAAAATAAATTATATTTTAAAACGAAGTGTAAATTATATTGCTACAATTTTGTAAGCTATATTAATTATTGCTTAATAACATTTGAATAAGGACATTATATTTTGAAAGTGTATTTTGTTCGTGGTGTATGTTTTTGAGAAAATTTAATTAAAACTATTATACTTGAACTATATAATATTCGAACTATTCCTGTCTACATTCACTGTAACAGTCAAATTGTTAGACAAGAAATATTTAATTAAAATTTTTAAATTTTACTGTAGAGACAAAGTCTTCTTTTAAAATTTCGATATTTAATAAATAAATTTACTTTTAGCAAAATTTTCTATTTTATTTGGAAAAAGAAATTAATTTTTAAATAAAATTAAAAAGTTCAATTTTTTTTGATTTTTTAATTCCAATTTTAAACCATTGTTCCCACCAAGAGTTACTTATCGATTTTTTAAAATAAAATCTTAAGGAAAATTTGATTTTTTTCTTTATTTTGTTAACTGTCATATTTTTCTAGATTTATATTGCAATTGAGACTTTTTTAATATTACAAAATTTATTATTTTCGAGATGTAAAGCAAGCGAGTTTTTTTGATCATAAAATCATTATAAAAATTAAAATTTCAATCGAAAAATATTTTAGACCGTTTCTGATTTATGATGAAACATTATGAAAAAGGATTAAATGATTTTTGTTTTATTTATGATTTAATATTTATATTGATTTTTATTTTTATATTTTGTTAGTAAAATGAGAAGAGTTTACAAGCTGCAGTTGCAATTAACTAAGTTAAATTTGGCTCAATCTAATAAATAATATTGGCATTCAATGTGGTATAGCATTTAATAATTTTAATTTAAGTTTTCGTTGCGAACATATTATAAGTATTTTAAAATATATAAATATGCTTTACTTCTAACTGACAACAGTTCAATGGCCAGATCAGTAAATATATTTTTTTATGTGAAGCTAAAGTTTAAGTAGCTTCGATAAAAACAAAAATTAACTAATTTTTTACAAAAATTTAATTTATAATATAAGCAAGAATTTGAACTACTCAAATACATTACCCTTTCTCTTCAATAACAATATTTTCCTTTTCAATTCTAATACTAATTTAATTATTTTAAGAATGAAACACTGAACTAAAAAATAGAGAAACGTTTATGTATAACGAATTACCAAATTTATGATGTAAATTGTAAATATTATCGCACTTATGAATAATAAACCTCCTAAATTTCAGCTAAAAAATTTTCAATAAAATCCTTTTTCTTTTCCTTCTAAGTGAATCTAAATTCATTTTCGAATATTTCTTTTTTACTTTCTATTTAGCTATTATTATTCAGAACCTTTTAAATTATTCAACATAAAAACTTGAAATGAATAAAAAGAAAGTAATACAAAAAATATTTTCAACGGTAAAAAAAAAGAAAGAAATGGGCGAGAAAGGAAGAAGGAAATCAACAATTTTTATTTTTGTTGTTTTTACAACTCAAAAGGACTTAACATTGAAAGAAAATTTTTTTACATTGACATTTTTGTGTATAACCGTTTCACGTTTTATTTAATTTTAATTTTATTCAAAATGCTGCAATGAGCACTGCATATTATTTCTAAAAGCATTGCTATTTTATTTTTTACCCATTCTTGTGTTTTTCATTGGCCTTCTTTGTTTTATTTCTATTTGATTTCAATTTTATGCTAATTTTTCCTTTTCCCACAATTATATAGCAGTACAGTGGTTCTTAACAATTAACTCAGTGGTTTATGTGCATAAAACTCATATACTCCACATCAAATTTAAAATTTTATACAATGTGTCAGAAGTCGACACGACATGCTAAAATTCGGTACAATAAGCAAAATTTGGGTTAGAGTGTTAGAACTTTGCACATTATGTTAAAAACTTTATATAACATGTAGAAAAACATGATCATATTATGACGATAATTTAACATGCTGTTCTTAAGTTTTGTACATAAAATTGACATTTACAGTAATTATGGTCCAAATGAGATATTATAAGACAATGTTAAGATTTGGTATAACTTGATAAATCTTGTACTAATAGTAAATATTATAGTAAAACTTGACATAATGAAGACAATTTTTGACATAACAATATGCCAAAATATTGTATTAAAAAACTGGCTTGCTTTCTTAGTTGATTAGATTAAAGAATTGAACTGCAATTCATTTTCATAACTCTTATTTTATATTATAGACCTCAAGTTAGTAAAAAATGTTAACATTTGTCCCAATATCCCAAAATTAAGTAAATCTTATATTTTGATCAAATATCAAAATATTTATACTCTAAAATCAAAGCATATTTATTTGCACTTTTCCAAAAATTTTTTAAATAGTTCAAAATAGTTAAAAAAGGCCATTTTTAGGGTTTTGGGGGGGTATAACTTCTAGAGGGGAGGAGATAGGTAAAAATTTTGTTCTACGGAAATAAGTTTTTAGCAAAGATCTATGTACGTAATTTCAGCTTTCTATCTTCAAGGGTGTAAAAGTTTTGTAAACAGACACACGGACAGACGGACTGACGGACGGACAGAGTGAAACTAATAAGCACCTTTTTTCAAAAATTTTTTGGAAAAGTGCTAAAAAAGAAACATTATACACATATGTAAGTATAAACCACAAAAAATATATACATACATCGTACATATATACAATTTATAAAAATGTGTAAATATGTACTGCATATGTTGCATTATTACGCAAAAATTTACTAATTAATTTGACAAAGTTATTATGCATTTAAAATTGATATTAAATTGAAGGAAGCGAGATTAAACAGGTATAAAATTTACTTTCTTTTTAAATAAGTTTCCAATAAATATTCTAAAATTTCATATCTCAAGCTGCACCACCACATGAATAGGTGTGAGAAATGTGATTTACAAAATATATTTCCCTATTTTAGAATCCATTAATTTTTAAAATGAGCAAAAACTTATGTGTGTTTATAAATTTCTACTTTGTATGCATATTATGGTTACAAAAATTACCTAGTACGTAAGAATAAAACATTGTCAATTGTAGTTATAATTGTTTTGTAAACTAAAATTCCTTATACGTATGATTAACTCGGCAAGGGTATAAACCTATACTTTCATTGTATATCTAAAAAAAAATTTTGTCAAAATGTTCAGAACGTAAAATTAATAGGATCCGTTGTTATGCCATGCTATACGCCAACTAACCACTCAAGGGTTCAAATATTTCATAAAACGACTTTCTTTTGACAGTTTTCGTTTATTTCCGTGTAGCCAAAATTTTATCAGGAAATAATTTTAATAAATATTTTCTTATTCTTCTTCATACCAACCAACATAATTTAAGAGTTAGTAGATTTCTTACTCATTTTATTTAAACTTTTAATTTGGCATAAAATTGATAACTGAAATTTTATAGAACTTATTAAAAGGAGAAAGAACTTCTGAACTAATTGAACACTTCTTCAAATCTGTTTGATAATGAAAATTTCATCAATACACATGATGCATTAAATTTGAAAATCTATTTAAAGGAACAGTTAAGTGTTATCAGTTCTTTACCAATGCATTTCCTCCAAGCAGGAGACTCTTAAAAAATGAATATTAAATTATTTTCTATTTTGACTAAAATCTTCTGTTATTCGTTGTGTTAAATTTGAAGAGCGTGACGTTTTTAGCTGACAGGAATATCGAAGTTTTAAATTTTTATATAATTCAAGTTGTTTTTTTAAAATATAGAAGTTAAAAAGCATAAAACTTTTCCTTCTTACATTAAGTAAACAACAGAAAAATAAAAAAAAAACCAAAATCTCAAATAACCAAAATTTCATTCAGAACAGTAGATAAGGGAATATGCTAAGGGGCCAGGACAAAAACAATACGAAACGAACTAAAAAAAAGCATAATTTAAATAAAAAGTAGAATGATAAAGGCACAATTGGCATATAAAATTCTTCGATAAAAATATAAGCAGAAAAAAATATTAAAAATGATAAAAAAACTGGGAATAAAAGTGGAGAAAAAGTGCCGGGTACATTACTGTTTTATTTTGCTTTATTTCGTTTAAAGTATATCTTATTCATTGCATTTCTTAAGGATGAATCCAAATAAAATTATAGAAATACAAGACTTTACATTAATCGGTAAAATTATCAAAACATTTTTAGTGGAGTGTGATTGTTTTATTTTGTGTTGAAAATTTCAAGTCTACAAAATTTATTTGTTTGGGTGTAAATGCTCTAGCCACATTACGATTCATATAATTTAAAAACAATGCGATGAAATTTTTTTTGCAAAGCATCAATGGCAGAGCATTATACAGAAAGACTTACTTGTTTTATGCGTATGATTAAATTTGTTTTTAATTTCAAT